TTAAAATGTGCAAGGAGCTCGATTCTTCAATAATGAGATCAATTACTAGATACAAATATAATTGAGAATTATTAATACTTTATTTCATTCACTGATTTGAAATGCACTCATCACAAGCTCTGTGTACTTAATAAAACAAGCTTTATAATGAATTAAGAAGTTTTTATAACAAAAAAATAAATCCCAACAATAAAGTTTACTCAGAAGGAATTTTCTCCAACTCATAAATGTTTCTTTACTGTATTTTTTTTTTTAATTTTTGGCTCCTCTTGAAATAATGCTGTTAGTTGTTCACTGTATTGTGTGAGGACAGCTGACTGACAGTGAAATTTACAGCAAGATTAGGAATTGGGTTAGAGCAATTGATTGAGTTTTGCTGAACTTGATGTTGTAAAAGGCATAGGATACCACCAGCCAGCCTTAACTCTTCTTTAACCCAAGTTTTTTGTCAGTGAATTTCCTAGTTTTTTTAAAAGAAAGAGAAATGTTTTTGAAGGAGTTAGTGGTCATTTAGGCAGTGATAGTTAGCATAAAGGTTTCCATTTGAGGTGCTACTGTGGCTAGCTAAAAGTAAAGATTGCTATGTGATTTCTGATTAGTCCAACTCCCCCACCCTTCTTGCTGACTTTGTTATAGTAAAATGGGTGAAATGTTGAAAGTGTGTGATTGATAACAGGGCAGGGAGAGAAATCGCAGGCATGATCTATGTTCCAAAAGATGGTTACAGTAACTTTTAAGCACAAGAGAGAGATGACTGCTATTTCTCTCCTTCTCCACCCCCACTCCCCTGGCCAGCATTTCCAGCTAACCCTTCTCTTCCTGTCCCGTTACGTAATTAGCATGTAAAAAGTAGCTCCATGCTGTCTGGTGCCCTCTGCTGCGAATTCAAATCACAGGCAGCAACTTACTAGAGGGTAGCATGCTTACTTGGTTATTACTCCTGAGGACATTCAGCACCAAAAAAATAAAAAAATCTGCACACAATATTTTAAAATTCTGAAAATTTTATTTGTCAAATAAATGTGGAGGCTCCAGCATGGCACTGGGGAGCACAGGCCACTGGCTGCGCAGAGGTGGGAGATCACTGTGCAGCGCCCCCGCCGGACACTGACTCAGCAGTGAGGCTGCACCCAATCCTGATACAGCGCAAGGATCAGGCCTGCCCCAGAAACACACTAGGGCCTTGACCATCTGTGCCAGTTGCACCAGGTGAGGGCAGGCAGGCTCAGCAAGGCAGGATTCAAGTGTGGAGGGGCTTAGTGTGGGGAGATCCAGGTGTGGGTTGAGAGGGCTTTGGGTGGGGCAATCTGGGTACAGGCAGCATGTGGGATCTGGATGCACAGGGGCTTGTTGGGGGGTTCTGGGTGCAATGATAATTGGACTCTGCAAGGGGGTCCAGGTGAAGGTGGTTGGGGCTCAGTGGGGGGAGGGGAGGGTTGGGTGTGGGGGTATAGAGATCGGCAGGGGATCTGGGTGTGGAGGACTCAGTGGGGGGGTCCAGATGCTGGGGGAGTGGGCTCAGTGGCGTGGAGATCCAGGTGCAGCTGGTTGCGGCTTGGTGGGCAGGGGATCCGGGTGCAGGTGTGTCTTGGGGTGGTCCATGCGCAGGGAGCATGGGGCTCGGCAGGGGGGTTGTGAGTTGTGGGGGTAGGCTTGGCGGGAGGGTCTGGGTCTGAGGGGGTCTGGATGAATGGGGGTTGGGCAGATGGGGGAGCAGTTTCCTGTACAGGGATCCCTCCCCCTGCAGCTGAGGAGTGATGAGTGCAGGAAGAGGTAGGGGGGGACTTTGCAGAGCTTCCTGCAGCCGGGGGAGAAATCTGATGGGTGGGTCTGACCTGGCCCTGGATGCCGTGCAGGGGAAGAGGAAGTCCTGTCTACCCCAGTCCCGCCTCCTGCCCCACAGTGATTTACCTCTCTGGCATCTGCCCTGGGCCACCGAAACATATTGCTGGGAAGGGACGCATGACCACTCTTGTGGCTTCTCTTTGCTTTCCCCCCTCCCCCCCAACAGCAGCCCCCTGGAGCAACCCCTCCCCCCCGCAGCACCCCCCGATTTCCCCCCTAGCAGCGGCCCCTCCAGATGTGCCCCCACCCAGCAGCGGTCCCTGCACCCCACAGCAGTGACCGTTTAATATTTAGTCAGGGGTATGTATGGTAAAAGTCATGGACAGGTTCACAGGCCGTGAATTTTTGTGTATTGCCCGTGACCTGTCCATGATTTTTACTAAAAACACCCATGACTAAATCATAGCCTTTCCTATAGCTGAAGGAAGCTGGCATGCCTATTAACCTTATCTTCTTGATAAACTGTAGTTTAAGTTAAAATGTGTTGTAATAAATTAATAAAACAGGCAAAAAAACTTAGATCCAAGCTTTATTCATTAATAAGTTACATTTTGCCATCTTCAAGTATCTTCCTGGCTCACAGGCAGTTGATAAAGAGGAGATGCTTAGATACTACAGTGATGGGCACAATACACAACCCTAACCTGGCTTGGTCTGTTCTTTTAATTCAGATTCTCTTTGGTGATTTCAACAGATTATAAACAATCATGTTTTACAGTGTACTGTGATACAGGTCACCTCCAGGCTTTCCGGGTATGCTTCAGCATATTTTTCTGCTGGATCACAAATAGAGCAATCCAACACCTCTACTCTATAATTCTTGTCACATTATCTGTATTTATTGTGACTGGCTTTTACACAATGTAAGCAACAACAATGGTGTAGCCTTTCCTTTTTCTACACAAGAAGGATCACTATAAAAATGACTATGGAATGCCTTTGTGGCTAGGGAATAAAATCACTCATCCCCAGTGAAATGAAGTTGGTGGGCAATACGTCATGTTGACTACGTCTATGTAAACAATATGAGATGGGATGAAATTTAGAAGGACACAATTAACACGGGGGATTTTAGCAAAGGTATAAAGGGGAGCTAGGCAACTCCTCTTGCCTTTCAATGGGAGTTAAGCTCCCCCTTCATGCCTTTGACAATTACACCTTAGTTTTTATATAGAATATTTTACTTCTCCCCCGCCCCCCGTTTGTAATGGAACAAAAACTAATCTGGCTGTAGTATGTTCAGTACTTTTTTTGAGATACTCCCATGTCAGCATGGATAACAAAGCTAAGAGTACTGTTACTGTTGGATAGCTAGCTGATGTTGCTGAGTTCCAAGGGGAAGTTCACATATGGTTTTTGTATTTAAAAAAAACATGGACACACACACACTCTCACGGTTGGCTCTATTGGTTTTTTAACACAAAAATATACACCTTATAGACACTGAGAGTTTTATTTTATTTATTTTTAATTAGATGTTGTCCCAGATTCTGACTGAAGATTAAGTCAGAGTTATTTCAGTTACTTTATTAATTGTGCTATAGTCCTACAGGTTTGCCCAGGGGTGTAAAATTTCCACAACTGGGTAAGACCCTTCCAAATTGCAGCTATGGGCACAGGAGGACCGCGAGGGTTCTTCATTCTTTAATAATGAAAATATCAGATTGAAAACCTTTTTGTTTCTTAAGAATTCATAAATTCATAATTTTACCTGAAGTCATGATATAAGAAACTAGGGATTTTTAGAATTTCCATTTCAGCCATTTGTCCAATGCCCAGGTTTTATAAATTCAAGTGGAGTGTAAGAAGTGACATAATCTCTTTGGAATAAAGATCATAATCTTCATAAGCAAATTCTTATTGTCAAATAATTTAATGACAAAAGGAAGAGAAGGAGGCAATTTGGGACCCTAATTCAGCAAGGTACTTAAGCCTAACTGTTTAAGTATGAGAGTTGTTTCATTGAAATCAGTGGGACTACTTAGGTGCTTTAAATAAACACACACCTTGCTGAACTGGTGTCTGAGGGTAGGGACCATCTTATTTGTTACTTGTTTGTTCTGTTCCTAGCACATCAGGGGCCCTGATTCTTGTTTGGGGTCTTAGGTACTATCATATTGAAATAGTAATTGTATGCAATTATTATCAGGTATTTTGTAAAGTGTGTGTGCAGAGTTTTCTATGAAATGCTGTTCAGTCTGTAAACAGTAGCAATTCAGAACTGTCTATTTTTAAGTCAGCAATCTGGATGCTATTAACTATTTCTGTAGAATGAAAAACAGCAGTTCACAGCTGTGATATGTTAAAAAAAAAGGGGGAGGGTTAACTTGGGGATCTTTACCTGTAATGTTGAATATTCACCTATAGATAATTTAAAACTTATTTATTTTGAACCTGTGTAGGAGAGTTTTAATCTTCTGTAATTTTGTTCTTTGATTCCCTGATTAGCTTTCCATAGATTGCTGAGCTGGATGGGAATTAATTTTCAATTTTATCAAGGTTTAGGTTTCTTTTTTTTTCTATTTGATCTCAATTTTATTTTATTTTTTAAATTCTCAACATATCAGAAACAAAGGAAAAACAGAGCTGTGACATCTTAAGCATTATCTTGTCAATTCATCTTCACCTCAACTTGCTGAGAGCACCAGCTGATAGTGCCAAGTGAACAGTTTTTCTCCTTTCTCAAGCTATCAATCTGGACACCTTTCAGTGCCAACTCACTTGAATTTGTGCTGATCTGGAGCAGTATTGTGATATAACCGGTCTGCATTGGGGTTCACCCATGATGAAATTAGTAGGTTGCTTCTTACATGTACGGTGTAGTAGCCCAGGCGAGATAGAGACAGTGAAATTGCAGGTCAATATAGTTCTTTATCATGGCCCACAGCACTTTCCTATAACATAGAAGTGTTGCTTTTGACGAGTAAGAATACCTGATACTTGGTGTACTATGTGGGACTCAGCAGTCTGGCTCACTTCTGTATTAAATATAAGGACAGCTGTGATGAGTTCCATTTAGGTATACCCTTGTGACACCTAACAAATTGCCAGTGTGACCGTCCAAGTAGGCAAAGTTTGGGTGTTCTTGACATAAGAGCTCGGTACTGATTCTGGCCTTGCCTATTACAAATGCCTTTTCTTTCTCTTTTTTGCAGATACTGAGCATCTTTATACTGTGGTTTTTCAAGAAATCTGTGAACGCTTTGGAAAGGCGTATACCTGGGATTTGAAATCATTAGTCATGGGTAAAAAAGCACTGGAGGGAGCACAGATTATTCGAGATGTACTTGAACTTCCGATGACCAAAGAGGAGCTACTGCATGAAAGTAAAATGAAGCAGGAAAAAATATTTCCTAATGCTGCATTGATGCCAGGTGTTTCTCTTCAATATTTAAATAACTGCATATGAAATTATTTAAACACTGTGACTATTGTATAGTTCTAAAACCTCCTTTCACAAAGCACCTTCTCTCACAGACCTGATATCTTCACTCTTGGCTTGACAGGTTTTGCTAAAAATTGCCTGTTTACTTGGTAGAAAGGTACTGAGGATGCTGAGAGCTTTTTCATATACACTTATGGAACAGATGCTCTTAATACATGTTTTAAAGAACAGGAAAACACATGGACAGGATAAATATGCATGAAGTTTATAAGTTTCATGATCTAGTCTTTGCTTTATAATATTTGAGAGCATCTGTGTAATTCAACAAGTTTGTTTTAAGGTGTGTATGTGTATACACTCTACTGCAGGGGTAGACAACCTATGGCACACGTGCCAAAGGCGGCAAGCGAGCTGATTTTCAGTGGCACTCACACTGCCCGGGTCCTGGCCACCAGTCCGGGGGGCTCTGCATTTTGATTTAATTTTGAATGAAGGTTCTTAAACATTTTAAAAACCTTATTTACTTTACATACAACAATAGTTTAGTTACCGGTATATATTATAGACTTATAGAAAGAGACCGTCTAAAAACGTTAAAATGTATTACTGGCACGTGAAACCTTAAATTAAAATGAATAAATGAAGGCTCGGCACACCACTTCTGAAAGGTTGTCGACCCTTGCTAGTGTATTTGTGTAAAATAAACAATATGCATGCCTTTACACACATAGACAGATTTATGTGTCTGTCCATGTATATATGTTGCATATTCTGAGTGCTTGGACTTGTAATCTTAGTTCCATTCGTAAAATTTTCTTTCATTTAAGTTTGTAGTATGTAATGGGAGAGGGGGAAAAACCCTAGGTAACAAGTTCAGGCATGCAAAAGAAGAAAATCCTAAACTAAGTTTGTTACCAACATAAAATTTAAAGTTAATGTTTCTGGAGCAAACAGCAATATTTTATGTCAAAATATAATGAGAGAGGGCAAAATAGCAAATTCCAGGTATGTATAAAGTAGCCTAATTAATGTAACTGTAACGAACATAACTTTTGGAACTTTCTGCATTTTGAATGTTTGGCCTTTCAGCCTTTATGATGCACTACCAGTAGTCTAGAAAAAAATTTTTTTTGAGGGGTGGCTGTATTTATATCTAATTTCCTAATATCTTAAAAGGGTTGGGGGTAAAACGAATATATGTGGGGGTAGGGATGGGGAGGGGAGCAAGTTTAAAAAAACAGAAACAGAAAATCTGGATATAATTTGTATATTCAGCTAACACTCAGCTGGTCCACAGCCCTCACTATCGCTGCTCACAGACGCATTGCAGACGGGCTGGGGAGCACACCTGGGCAGTATCAGAACTCAAGACATGTGGTCACAACCACAACTATCGCTGCATATCAACGTCAGGGAGCTGAGAGCAATTTGCCTGGCTTGCCAGACATTCCAGGCTCATCTTCAGGGCAAATGTGTCTCAGTACTGATGGACAACACCACAGTGATGTTCTATATAAACAAACAGGGTGGTGCTCGTTCCTCTCTCCTGTGCCAGGAAGCTCGCCTACTGTGGGACTTCTGCATCATACACTGCATCCAGCAACAGGCCTCCTATCTGCCAGGAGCACAGAACGAACTAGCGGACCACCTCAGTCTCTCGTTCAACACTCACGAGTGATATCTCAGAGCGGTCATTGCCCTTTCGATCTTCCAGAGGTGGGGCTATCCCCACCTTGACCTGTTTGCGACATGGAGCAACAGAAAGTGTCAGCTGTTCTGCTCCTTTCAGAACCACAGCCACGGTTCCATATCGGACGGCTTTCACCTACCATGGACGAGTCATCTGCTATATGCGTTCCCGCCCTTCCCACTCATACACAAGGTCCTCCTCAAGATCCGGCAGGACAGGGCTTCAGTGATCCTCATAGCACCAGCATGGCCCCGACAGCACTGGTTCACCACACTGCTGAACCTATCAGTGGACAGGCCAGTGGCCCTTCCTATGCTCCCGGACCTCATCGCACAGGATCATGGCCAACTACAACACCCCAACCTGGAGTCCCTCCACCTCATGGCATGGAAACTCCATGGCTGAACCAGCTTGAACTGCAGTGCTCGGACTCTGTTAGGGAAGTTCTGTTGAGAGGCAGGAAGCCCTCCACTCGCACAGCGTACCTGATGAAGTGGAAACGTTTCTCCATTTGGTCCATACAGAAAATACCTCCCCGCAGCAAGCCTCTATTCCCCTCGTGCTAGACTACCTCTTGTACCTGAAGCAACAGGGGTAGGCAATATCATCTATTAAGGTACACCTGGTGGCCATTTTGGCCTTCCACCCAGGTGTGGAGGGCAGGCCAGTCTTTAGCAATCCCATGGTGGGCTGTTTTCTTAAGGGCTTGGATAGGCTTTACCCCCAGGTGAGGCAACCCATTCCTCAGTGGAATCTTAACATGTTCCTTTACGGATTCATGGTTCTCCCTTTCGAGCCCCTCGCGACCTGCCCCTTATCCTACCATTCCTGGAAGGTGGCTTTTCTGGTGGCCATAACCTCGGCCAGAAGGGTCTCCGAGCTCAGAGCACTGACTTCCGAGCCCCTCTACACGGTCTTTTACAAGGACAAGGTGCAGCTACGCCCTCACCCAGGTAGTATCGCAATTTCACATTAACCAGGACATATTTGTACCGATATTCTTTCCTAAACCTCATGCCAGCAACAAAGAGCGGGCACTCCATTCCCTGGATGACAGGCGTGCCCTAGCCTTCTACATTGAACGCACAAAGCTGTTTCGTAAGTCACCACAGCTTTTTATTGCAATCACCGAAAGGATGAAAGGGCTTTCCATCTCATCCCAGCACATCTTGTTGTGGATCATGTCCTGCATCAGAATGTGCTGTGACCTGGCTAAGATCCAAGCCCTGGCGTTGACGGCGCACTCCACAAGAGCGCAGGCCTCTTCTGCTATGTTCCTCGCACAGGTCCCCATTCAGGACATATGCAAGGCAGCAACGTGGTCTTCCATCCACACCTTCACATCACACTATGCCATCACTCAACAGGCGAGGGACAATGCGGCCTTCAGCAGGACAGTACTGCAATCAGCAACTCGGTGAACTCTGATCCCTCCTCCTTCGAAACTGCTTGGGAGTCACCTATTGGAATGGACATGAGCAATCACTCGAAGAAGAAAAGATGGTTACCTACCTTTTGTAACTGTTGTTCTTCGAGATGTGTTGCTAATGTCCATTCCAAATCCCTTCTGCCTCCCCTCTGTCGAAATATTCCATCAAAAAGAACTGAATAGGCGGCGGGTCAGCAGGGACCTATATACACTGCCACAAAGGCACCACTCCAGGGGGCTCCACAGCCGACCCAGCGGGTACTACTAGGGTAAAAACTTCTGACAATCGTGGACGCGGCGCGCACGCACACACACCTATTAGAATGGACATGAGCAACACATCTCAAAGAACAACAGTTACGAGAGGTAGGTAACCATCTTTTCTCATAGCAAATTTCAAAGTTCGAGAACATAGAATAACATAAAAGTCAATTAAGCAAATAAATAAATAATAATAATATTTTTAAAAAGCTTTCTTACCCCCCTCCCTCCCCAAACAGGCTTCACATTTGTATCTTCTCCTTTATTTTTTGGCTGGTTTTTTTGTTTTTAACTTGGATTCATCAAATTGCTGTTGGCTTTCTTTTCCTTCTTGAAGGGAAGGATAGCTTTGACCTCCTGGGTCTTGTTAATTGGAGATGGATCAAAACTGTGGCTTATCGGCTGTTTTGTACAAGTAATAAGAAGGTCAGTAGTGTTCTGGATTGTGGAATAAGTGAGTTCTTTAAAAGGAGAACTGTTTGCCAAATAAATGTAGAGGAATCTGAAATATCTCTACATCCCTTACATCTCTTAAAAATTGTAAATCTCATGTGCATTTAGACAATTTGGGGTCAGAGCTGAAGGCTGAACTAATTAAATGAAATCATTTGTCTTTCATTCTTGTCAGACTTTTATGTAGGCAGAAAGAAAATGTCTGATTTAGCACGTGGATGAGGATCCGTGTTTCAAAAAATGATAGAAAAGGATCTCTGCTAGTGGACTTGTGAAAATGGTGTGCACAGATTTGAATATCAAGCTAATAGGCAGCTTTTCAATATCTGAGAAACATATGGGAGAATTATCAATTTTGCTTTCCTACTCTCTGAGGTGTCTAGGAGCAGCCCCTTTCAGTAGCAGCCCCGCCACAAGGAGGCTCTGAAGGATGGTATTATAAGTGAAGGAGTAAAATATGGAGGAGATTCTCAGTTGCCCCATCAGGGATATGGAGGTCTACCTCAGAAAAAACTATATTCCTTGGAAAGAACACAAAAATCTAAAAAAAATAACATGAAGCTGAAAGGCAAGACACATAGTAGAGTGTAAGACAGTTCTTCTGTGCTATATTTTAAAGGTAATTATAAAAGTAAAGTATATTTAATAGACTACAAATAAACATTTCAGAAGTCACTTAGACACTTAGGAGTCTAATCCATGGGAATTAAGGTCCTAATCCCATTTGCTGTTGAAAATGTTAATCCATTGGTCTGCTTTCAGATTCTGTCTCAAATTAGTTTCTGCTGACCTTCACAAGTGGTTTGAATTACAGTTACTGCCGTGAAGGGAGTCAACAAGCTCATTGCCGTTTTGATGCCAACCAAGCAGCAAAGGTAGCTGTGAGCTTCTTGACTCCCATCAGCAAATGACATATTTATTCTTTAAAATTACTGATTTTATTGTGCTCCCATTTCTATTTTTCTTAAGTCTTCTGTATCTCAGCCATGTTTCTGCTCTCTTCTCCGAGCAGCAGTGAGTTCCCTGGGAACTGCTAAGTGGGTTGTAAACAAAATGGCATATCTGAAGAAAGAAAATTCACTTTACCCATTCTCGAAATGCCATGGCTACAAGTGGACAAAATGGTCAAATTGTTTCTAACAAAATGTATTTTTGT